ACACACACAAGACGTACTAGAAAATAGAAATTATAAATAAGCAATGAATGCATAATTTATTATTTCTCGCGCTTTCTTCTTCTGCTAGTTCCTTTCTTCCCAATCTCCTTCTCAAATATCTCGTTTCTCCCTTTACACCTTTATCTCTCTTTGCAACTTCTTATTCGTTTAATAATCAAAAGCGATTCATTCTTTGTTTTCCAGGTTTGTTTTGCCTTTTCTATTTCGATCTGAATTTATCCTTTTTTTTGTTCATTATCCATTTCAAACATTTTCTCGATTAGCTTTCGTCTTTGTTTAATTCAAGGTTGCCTCAATCGGTTAGATTTGGAAATTTTATCTGAGGTTCTAATTGTTGTTATGATATGATGTTATAATTAGTTTGGCTTCTAAGTTCCATTGACGTGTTCCTAAATCCTTACTATACCCTGAAGTTTGACATCCTAGGACTTTCTATGTGCCTTCAATCCGAATCAAGACAAGTGAATAAATTGGTAGTAGATTTTTGTTTATTATATTTTTAAAGTTTTGATCCTTTTTTGGTGGGATTTTGTTGGATTGATGATATTGACTATTGAGTTTACTTTTTGTGAATTTTGGGATATTGGAATTGGGATTTAATGATTTTTGTTTTGCATTTTGATATGAGCTCAAGTTTGAGTTCTGAAATGTGTTTAATTTAATCTAATTAATTGAAATAGCAGTTTGGTGTTTGTATTTGTCAACTTGAAGGGACCTTTATAAGTTCTGTTCGCAAAAATTACATTTTTATCATATAATTATAAGCTATTCCATATAATTCTTTGAACATTAGTATATGAGTTCGAATTAAAAACTTGTGTTGCAGCGTTTATTGTTTTTCTGCTATCTGAGTGCTGCCTGTTGTGTTTTTGTATGTCTATGAATAGGATGTTTTGTGTTCTCTCTCTATCTGTATATCTCCAAGAAAACACAACACACATATACTTATATATTTTTAATTTGGTATAGTTTGTCTTATGTTGAGACGGTGAAGTAGGGAAAGTGTGGTGAGAGTTGAGAAGGGAGGAAATGGCTGAGATTGCCACTGGGTCGTCTGGAACAGGGAGGTTGAAGTCACTGGAAGGCGTATCTACTGTGCAGCAGCAGCAGTGCCAGCCTGAGGAAACGTTGGTGGAATGGAGGTCTTCCGAGCAGTTGGAAAATGGGATCCCATCAACCTCGCCTCCATACTGGGATATCAGCGACGACGAAGGCGGTATGCCATTTGTTCCCTTAAGGATAATTGGAAGCCATGTTAATGAATTCCTTTTAATGGTTCTGTTTTAGTCAATTTTGAGAAAGTAACATGATATCAATCAATATTGTGCTAGACATTTGTCATGTGGCATCTCTGATTTTTTGCCTGAAGCTTACACCCTGAGGCTTGCATTACTGAGGCTTTCACTAAATGTCTCGAAGCTTACGCCTTGAGGCTGTTTGGTAAAGCTTTTATGAAGCTTATTCCTCAACGTACTCGGCTCACGCCACAGGGTGGTTGAGGTGTGGGCTTATTTAAGGGTATCTCTCCGTTTT